AAATTTCTTAATCCTGAAATTAGTTCAAAAGACGCCCTTCACGGAGCATGAAAAACTTGCCATCATATCGATGTATCATCAATACGGTCCAAGTTGGACACTAATCGCAAGCAACCTGCCTGGCCGATCTGCATTGATGGTGAAGAATTTTTGGTACAATATGGACGAAAGAGTTCGCATTCGCGTTAAAATGTCAATCGCAAGATTGATTTAATTCTATGCTTACCTTCAATTATTTTTTGATAAGAAAAAAAAATATAATTTTATTAAGTTTACGCAGCACAAAAACACACATTAAACATCTATATCATTCACACACACACACACACACACACATATTATACGTCACTTTTAATTCATATGAAGGGCATTTGCGTTTTAATTTTCGATCTTTTTAACAGGCCGGCCAATTTTTCTGTATCTGTTCTGACTGATTATTATTTTATATGGTATTATTTTGTATGGCTTATCTGTCACTCTCGTTTAAATTTGTATAATTCGCGTGTAGGCACAGCAATGAATCTAATCATCACACACTTACGCTTCGCCGTTAGCTTTTCTCTCTACTAAGCGGGGAGAGAGAGAACATATTCTATTATAGATTTCGGTATATCTTGAATTTCGAAACCTTTTATCGTTTTTTTTTTTTTTAGCATAACGTTATAACAGTAGTAATTTCATATATAGTACTAGTACTTATTTTTCATAAAGATAAGCGGCCGCTAGATCCTATCTATCCTTTTTATATTAAATTTTGTTTATTCTTTATCTAAAAATAAAACCAAAAAACCACCATTTTATCCAAGGAGTTTTTTCTCTGCCTGAATCAAAGGATCTTTAGAGCACAGAATATTGAGATAAGGATAAACTTTTAAAAGATATACAGTATCGCGTTAAATACACGTGTTTAGATGAAACATCAACAGTGGTGCGTGTTGTCATGCATTTATCGTATGCAGTGCAAGAATTGGTCGATATTTGACAAAGACTCGAATTTTTGTGTAATCAATCACTATTGCTTCAAAACATAAAAACAACCAACATGCGAGGTATTTTCTACGATTACCTAATAAAATAAGTCATCATGAAATCGAAATACATACTAGTAAATATGGTTTTTCGTAAAATTTCCCATTCTTCTCTGATATTCATGCTATTCTTTAGGCATCAGAATATATATTATCCTTGTCTTAAAAGTTATTTATTAATTAATATATCATCAAACTTTATGGATTGTGCTTGAAGCAACTTTCCAATATACAATATTTAAAGTTTACGTTTAAAACGATCGAGTCAAGACACGTAATTACTGTAAGTTAGATTAAAAATTTGAATTGAAAACGCCAATTTTGATATACATCGTCTTACCAAATAGATACTCCAACGTTTTCATTTTCCGAGATCGAACATAAGTAATAAACGAATCGAATCTTCCATTTTCCGCTTAGGTTTAAAAAAAGTTTTTGTTATTGTTACATGTATTGCATTCGTTATCCAGTAATAAATGTAAACTTCCGAATTTGTAACTAAAATACATTTGATAAAACAACTTTTACGATCTCTGAAATGAAATCATCATTTCTTTAGCAAACTTACTCTCTAAAGAACAAATTTTTACCTCCATATGAAAGTCTTACGTTATGCATTAGACACTCAAACTAGCTTTTATTTGAAATATAAATATTCATTCTTGACTTGGGCCCAAGCTATCGATGCAAGCTCAAGTACGTCAGTGCATTTGTTACAATAAAATTCAAAGAATTCACCTTTTGATGCTTTTTGCGTAAGATTACATTGTAAAGTAACAATCAATAGCGAGTTCCAGATAAAAACGAATATAAAATATCATTACAATGAACTTTTTACTTATAGCATTATATCTTATCCTATTCACATTCTCATTTGTATTCCATATTTAAAATTCCTAACATTTGTATTCTATATTTAAATTTGGAACAAATTTCTATATATTTTATATGTTCAGTTACTGTATATCTTACAAAATCTAAGAGTAATACATGTAGTTCCAAAGGAATATAATATAACGATAAGCAAGGTACGAGAATAATACCCACCCAATCAGATAATTCATACATGTTAATTAGTGTTCGAGCTCGAACTCGAACCAGACTCGAAAATTTTGGTCTGGTTCAAGTATTTTTATTTGAATAATTATAATTTATCATCAAACATATGATATATAGCACTATTTTATTAATAATTAAGAATAAATCACTTATGAGTTATTAATAAAAAACTAAATTTTTAATTTAAAAAATAATCAATGGATATTAATTTTGTATTATATAATATCTTAAATAAAATTGTAATTCAAAAAACAGGCTATAACTTATATTTAGATTCATTTTGATAATTAGATTCAAACTTTGAATGAATCAGACTTAAGCTTGAACTCAAATTGAACTTGAATTTAAAAAAGTTCAATTCAAGTCTGATTTAATCTTTTGAGTTCATTCCAAATTTAAACTCAAAGTCTAATTTAATATTTCAGTTAAAAATATTAAATACGAATAATATTAAATTTTTATTAAAAAAGTATTAAAATTAAAAATAATATTTTAATATTTCTAACTTAAAATATTAAATCAAATTTTTATCTGATTTAAATCTAATTTGAAATTTAAATCAGACTTGAATTGAACTTGAATTGATCTTTAACTTAGAATTTAAAAAAATCTAAATTAAATTTTTTTAAATTTAAGTTCAATTCATAATCAAGTTCAAGTTTGTTTTAAGTTCAAATTTAATTATTAATTAAATTTACATAAAATTATAATATGAATTTTGAATTATAATTTCTTATAAAATATTATATAAAAAATTAAAATTTTTTATTTATTAATTAATTATATAAAATAATTATAATAATATTATAATGTTTATTTTTAATTATAAATTAATTAAGATAATTATAATAAAATAATTTTTTTTATAAAAAATATATTATATTTTATTAATAAATTA